CTTTAATGCTAAACTAATTTTATAGATTTTTAAACTAAAATTATGAATATATGTGTATATAATGAGGAATATTTCAAAGTATACAAATTAATAATATAGTAAAATAATATGATCACAGAAGCTAAATAATAATTCCTAATATATTATCCAAATACAAATTGAATTTCACTCAGAAAGGCTTACCTTTAGCTACCGGGAAAGGAGAGTCCCCACACATTTCCCTTTTATTCCCCTACTGGTCCTGCAGACTGCGGGAAGGACTCTGACATTAATCTCCAGTTTCAGGTACAGATCAGCATCTCAACAACAGATTCTGGGCAAACATATACCTGCTGCCACCCCAAGTAAAATGCTCAGCAGCTGGAGAATGTGTGTTTGGGTCAAAGTCTCAGCACAACTGCTCTCTAATTCCAAAGGAAGGGACAAAGTGAAATCCAAGAGGCACCTCAGAAGAGGAAATGGAATCTTACCACCTCCACAATGTTCTCCCAAAGTGGTAGGTGTGCCACAAGTTTAACTGGAAATGAGCAAAGACAAAGTTTTCTGACAGAAGATTTCTCCAGGCTCCACATCTCTCCCCAAGCATTCTCAGGTAGGTGATTTACTGAACCAAGAGGGTCCACCATCAATTTCAATTTCAGAATCTATTGAGAAGAAACTCACAGTAAATACATAAGCTGGGAGAGGCCAAAGAGACTCCACCCACACTCTGCTAGTTCAGAAGCGTACAAGCCCATGTGCTCAATTTCCCCCCTTTCCAAATCATACTGGATTAAAGATGATTAGGTATTTGATCTAATCCTTGTTAGTGTTGGGGAAAAATATAAGCAGACTTTTATTCTAGTAGGGATTGAAGGAAATCCCAAACTTTAAACCAAAGGAACCTAGAAGTAGTATCAGACTACAATTATAAGAAGTTAGCAAGAAAGGACAGGATCAAGCCAAAGTACCTTTGTTCCCATTGTGTTTTAGACCACTGCTGTTCCTTCCTGTGCCAAACTGAAGCCAATTTGCTGAAATGGTGAGAATTCCTTTTCTCTGAATATACATGCAAAGCACATTTATTTACAACTATCCCCAAACAATGCTGCCTAGTGTGCAAGGTCATCTGAGGTGGCCAAAGCTTTCAGAGTTACTTGGTAAACCATGAGTGGCCACTGTTCACGTGGAAAGGATGTAGTGAAATCTGTGTCATTTCCAGAACATGTCATGTCTGACACTCATTTAGAGAGGAAGCAGTTGTGCTCTTTGTAACTGGTACTACAGTTAAGTTCTTGTAGCAATTCAGGAAATGCTTTGTCTGAGACCAGCCCTCAAAGAGAAGAACTCCAGTTGCTTATGGACAACTGAACTGTTATTTCCTCAAAAGCGGTGTTTGCATAATTTGGAGAGAGCAGTATGAGGATGAGTCTGCAATCATTTCATTGATTAAAAGTAGCTTTAAATCTTCTAGACAGCACAGGAAGACATCAAACTTTTTTTTCCACTCAGCAATGAGAATGGAGGATCAGCATTGGCATGAAGAGGCAGCAGCAACATTTTACCTGGTCAGGGGTTAATGACACGGGTACAGTTTGTGAGGCAGCAGCCTCATGGGGAGGGATGCGGACACGAAAGTCTCCCTGCAGATGGTGGTAGTTCTAATTGCAAGCTCCCCTTAAAAGTTCCAGAAAGTTTTCTTTATAACACTTTTAACCATCTAACTTATATCTGGCTCTACCCTTCCTTTCTGGGAAGCTAAATGTAGTAACTTTCTTTTCCCAAAATGACAATTTTTCCTGGCTCCATGACATTGCCTGTTACCTAAATATTCAATTATAAGATTTATGTTTTCAAAAGCAAGATGGCTTGTCAGAAAAGAAAACAAATAGACCAAAAAATGAACATGGTAAATGCATATAACAAAGAAATAAATAAGGAAAGTTAGAAAAATAAGAAAGGGAAATTTTTAAATATATTTTATAAATATTAATTCCAAGTGAAGCTTTCCAGAATTATTGCATAAAGTAGTGAGTTATTGTTGTCTTCAGAGAAATCTCAAATATTTAGTTTCAGAATAAGAGTAATTTCATTAAAAAAATCATCATATACTGGCAACTTTCATTTTACCTGGAATAATTATTGCTTAGTTGAATGTTATCTGAAAAATAATAGATTTTATAATTCAGCTTTATTTATTTTTATTTTTATTTTTTAAATTTTATTTTGGTATCGTTAATCTATAATTACATGAAGGACATTATGTTTACTAGGCTCCCCCCTTCACTAAGTCCCCCCCACATCCCCATTCACAGTCACTGTCCATCAACAAAGTAAGATGCTGTAAAATCACTACTT